GGAGCTCATCTGAGCGGCTGGCCTGGCCCGGGCCCTCCGGGGCAGCCTCTGCCTACTCACTGCAGGCGGCCTCCCGGCTCGGTCTCTCTCTCGTCTTTCCTTCTCCCTATCCTGGGCCCTGGTAGTCTCCTCCGTCTTTGTACTTGTCTGTCTCTTTCTCTCCCCTCTGTGTGAACTCGGGGCTCCTCACAGCAGGGGCTCAGCACGAGATTTCTCCCAGGGCAGCCCCTGGGCGTGGTGGTGATCCTCTCTTAATCCCCACTGTCTCCACAGGGGATCAGCGGCTGTACCTGCAGCCTCCACCCCCCCCCGCCGGCCCTGCCCCTCCTGCCCTGCATGGCAGCTGTTAGCAGTTGGTGGCAGATCTGGGGGAGCATGGCGCTCACCTCTCATGGGCTGGAACCTTCTGCACCCCGCCTCCCCACACGGAAGGTGCAGGCAGTGGCCCCGGCCAGTCCTGAGTGCAGCCGCCCTGGGTCCTGGGCAGGCCCAGCTCTCTGCTTGGTGGCTCTCCCCCTAGTCTCTATAAGGGCCCGCTGGGACCCACTCACTGGGGGTCTCGGCTCTCGAAGGCTAGCAACCCCTAGTGCAGAGGAGGCCCCGGCCACACCCGGGATGTGTCCAAGGCCGGGCTGAGCCCAGCCTGGAGGAGGAGGTCCGACACCCCATCTGGAGGGTCTCCTTCAGGCCTCCACAGGGCAGAGGCCCTGGCAGGTATTTCCCACCCACCAGGGGAGCGGGGCCTTCAGGACAGGAGGTGGAGGGCGAGGACACGGCCACGTGGAGCTTGGCAACTCTCCGGCTCGCTCCTGGCCTCTCAGCCACCCTAGGCCCATCGCCCTTGGGCCAAGCCCCGGGACCTGTAGGGGGGTGGGCGTGGCAGTGAGAGGCTGGTTCCAGGCCCTGCTCCGTCACCGCAGCCGTGTGGCCCTGAACAGGCAGAGCAAGGGTCCTGTCTGCAGTTGGGTGCCTTCCCCTCTAACACAGCCGACTCAAGTCCCATCTCGCAGGTCTCTGGGGGACTAAGGCCACTCCGGGAGTGTGCTCAGTGACTGGCGGTTGGTAAGCAGGTAGTAGGTGGCCACGAGCCCGGAGTGGCTTCTCAGGACTATCGAGACAGTCCCAGAGTGCTGCAAGCCAGTTTACCTGGAGGCCACCCACCCTCAGCAGGCCTGGCCCACTCCAGGTATGCTGGGGAGCCCTGGGGTGGGAGTGGGGCAGCGGGAAGCTTCTGGGAGGATTGTGGAGTTAAGGGGTGCGTGGGCATGGCCATGTCGGTAGGTAACCCTCTCAGTGACAGAGAGGCACAATCGGGGATTTGGAGAGACCGCTCGAGGCGCTTTGCAGAGTAATCCGCTTTCGGGGGCCCCAGAAGATCGGGGCCACGGAGCCAAAGCCCCTCGCCTGCCCTCCCGTCCTCTGCTCTCACCTCTCCCTCCCTCATCCCTCCTGGACCCTCTTGACACACCCTGCAGGACCACCGAGCCAGGGCAGCCCCTCCTTCCACAGTGGGACGCGGGTCTTCGCCTTAAACCTGCCTCTCCCCAGGGCACCCAGGGGTCGGCCCAGTAGAGACCTTCCCGGTGTCCTTGGGCCACCTGGCAGAGCGCCAGCTCCTGTGACCCTTCACCGCAGACCCGTGTCCCTGCCCGAGCTTCTCACCCAGAGACTCACTGTGGGGTCCCGCTCCCTCAGCCAACCTCCGACCTCTGAGCATGCAGTGTCCCCGAGGCTTCGGAGAGGGAGCAATGGAGACACAGGAGAGGGGAACCAGGAGCCCAGCCAGGCCTGGAGGGCACAGGAGGGAGGTGTGGAGGGCGGGTGCCCCAGGAGGCCGTAGGCACTGGCAGCGAGGAGGCCAGCCGGGATGCGCTCACAGACACATTCAGCGTTGTGTTCGAGCCCCACAGCGGCCTGACAAAGCAATACCCTCAATGCGAGGATGCAGAAACTGAGTCAGAGAGCTTGAGCACTTTGCTTCAGGCCACAGCTCCTGGGCAGTGGAGGAGGCTGAGGCTGGAGACGGGGGTTTCAGACCGGGGTCTGCACCTTCCCCACCTGCTTTGCACTGGGAACTCCCCGGGCAGGAGGCTTCCACAGCTTCCGGGCTGCTGGCGCCCTGGGCCAGCACTGGGCCGGCGGGAGCTCTGGAGGGACGGAGACAGGGCTGGGGGCTGGGGGAGAGTGACACTAAGGAAAGACCCCTACACACACCATTGTGGGAGCTAGTTAAAAATATTTCAGGCAAGGGCTTTTTTTCTTTAAGAGTTCTTTTATTTAACTTCATTTATTATTATTTAACTTGACTAGAGAGAGACTGAGAGAGAGGGAGGGAAAGTGAGAGAGCAAGCCACTAGGTCTCGGCCTCGACCCGCAATTGGCCATGTGGGAGTCCAGCGCCCTTAACCACTATGCCACCTGCCAGTCCCGGGAAGGACGTATTTTAAAGTGGAGCATTGAGGAGAATGAGCAGAGGGGAACACCATGGTGGACGTCAGTCAGACCCCAGGAGCTGCCCCAGCACGCCGGGGTCGGAGCAGGAGGGTCCGGGCACACAGGGGCTGCGCTGGCCTGAGAGGGGGCCTGGGGCGTGAGGGGCAGGCTCGGGGCAGGCGTGTGCCCTCAGAGCCTGGTTCTCCACCCTCCTGGCGGTGTGAGCTCAGCCCGGAGCTCCCCTCCCCTGCTGCTGCATCTCCCAATGTGTGGGCTCGTGTCTCTCCACGGTGTGGCAGGGCTACAGGAGCTGGCTTTGGAAGGGGCCGGTAAGTGGGAGGAGGGAGGCGCACGGGGCAGAAGGGCAGAGGTGGGGAGAGGTCTGGGGTGAGGCCTTCCCCTGGGGTGGCCGGGGGCCTCTTCTGAGGATGGTGGGGAAGGGGCTCAGGGAGGGCCTTGGGGAAGCTCTGCGGCGTCCCAGCAGTCTTCCTCAGAGGGCGTCTTCCATGAAGCCCTGGCAGGCTGGCACACCCTGCAAGAAGGCAAACCCAGGCCCGACCCACGGCCACCACCCCCTCCCAGCAAGGCTTGAAGGGCTTAGCAGGAACGGGTCTGCTCTACTTCCCATTCGCAGGGCCAACCCAAGGTCCCCTCCTCCAGGCTGCCTGCCCTGACTGCTCAGCACACCTCCCGTGTCCTACGAGGTCCAGGACCAGGCCAGTGCTGAAGGCTGACCCTCCCTCGAGGTCATCGAGGTCAGCTTTGTCTCAGCCGGAGGGCGAGTCTCTTACTGAGCTAGAGGTCGAGGGTGCTGCGTGCACAGAAGTGCTTCTCCACGCCCTGCTGCCCCGTGGCTGTGCTGGACGTGTTTCCCGAGCATGGCAGACACAGCCTCACGCAGGAAAGCCACCTGCATGTCTGCCCGCCCGTCCTCACTGTTCGGGCCGTGTCCTCACACTCTGAGGCCCTCCGAACTCCTCTCCAAGCCTCGACTCTGACAGGTCAGGTCCAGCCGAGCTCTGCGCTGCCCCGGGGGTGGGAGGGTAGGGGTGTGGTCAGGGAGAAGGACAGGATGACCAGGCTCAGCAGGGCCTGGGGCTGGGGGCCCCCTCCCCAACCTGTGACCACCAGCTGCTGGGGCAGACGCCAAAGGATTACTCAGCCCAAAGCCTCAAATTTGCTGACGAAGCAGCCAGAGGCCACCTCATCACTAATGCAATTATTCCCCCAGGGAAGGTCAGCACCTCCCTCCGAATGCCTGGACCCCCGGGGTGGGGGCTGGAGAGAGAAGGTGGTATGTATGCTAAAGGCAGCAGAAGCAGGTAGAGCCCCTGCCTGCCCGTCCAGGGCCCACCGCACTCTGGGGCTCTGGGTCCTGCCAGAGGGAGGAGGCCGTGGCTCCCAGCCCAGCAGCTGCAAGTCTCTTGTCCGGGCCAAATCTCACCCCTAGCATTTGGGCCCACAAACATGTCTTCCTCCAGGGTTTCCGAAAAGCGCCGGCCCCATCCCAAGTGCCCTCACTCTCAGAGCTCAGGGATGGGCTCTGGGGCTGGGGAGCCAGCAGTGCCACCTCCAGGGAACTGTCCCTAGATCTGAAGATCTCTGTGTGCGCTCCCTACGGAGGAGTTGGTGGACTCCATCCACGGACAGTGATGACGGCTGAAGGGGGCGTGTTTCACCCCACGTGGAACGCCATGGCGTCGTGGCTACGTTTACTTAGAAATACACCCGAAGTTGCAGTTCGGAAGCCAGCTTTATAGCAGTGTCTCTAGGTTGACATCGTGTGTCCCAGCGCAATCTCTGGCCCAAGATCATGAGATGCCTCTGCCCTGGGCAGGACTAAGTGAATCGATGGTCTCTTTATCTTGAATAAGGCATGGAAGGTTCAGGACTCCGAGAAGCAGAAGCCAGCAGGAACGGTTCTCAACAAAGCTGCTTATTTCTCCAAGACAATGTGTAGAGGTAGCCAGGTATTTCCGTGCAATCTTCAGCCCTTGCCCCTTGAATTGTTTTCAAGGTCTGGACAGAACTGGAGGGGCCCCGCCCACCCGCACAGTCGAGGCAGTGTGTCCTTCTCTGTCCCACGTGACCGGCAGTGCACACTGCTCCTTCCTCCTGGCACTGGAAGAGGTGGGCTTCTCGGGTGTCCCGAAGAGCTCTTAGAAGGCACCAAGGCAGAGACCTCCCCACAAGCAGAAATGTCTGTTTCGTTCAGATGCTCAGTAACAAGCATGTATATTACAGAGAATAAAGCTCTTTGCATTTTGAGAAAAATCAGAGGGCCAGCCACAGTGGTTAAGGGAACCAGATCCCACATGGCTGACTACAATTCAAATCCCAGGTCCGGTGGCTGGAAAATCTCATGTGCATCCGCGTCCCAGATCCTAACAATGTAGAAATGGGGGAGAGGAACTGAGCGAGCACGCCCCATTGGGGGTGCGTTCCCTTTTCCTTTCTGGCAAGCGCACCTGTCCACTAGCAATTTAGAAAAGAATAGTAACAAGTACTCAAGGAACAATGACCAATTTTTTCCCCTAGAGAGTGCACGTGTTCATCAGAGACAGAGACAGAGTGAGAGGAAAAGTGAGAAATGGCTTCCTGGGTGACTGGCCACACTGCAGTCCCTTCCCTTCTCAGGGTTTTGGGCACACATGCAAGCACCCGTTTCTCAAGGCACTTGGTCTAGGACTCGAACTGCAGTCAGCCATGTGGGATCCAGCGCTTTAACCTCCGCACCATCTGCTGGTCCCAGTCACCACTCTTACTCCGAATAATGTCTTGTGTTTTATTGATTGATTTCTTAAAGAAATGTTTTGCTATAGGGCGCGTGTGCTCGCCAGAAAGACAGAGAGACAGAAAGCGAGAAATCACCCCGCAGGGGGGATGGCCACGCCACAGTCCCTTCTCCTCCATTCTCCTCCCGGGATCTTGGGCACGCACGCACACGCGCCTGATGTGAGTTTATGCCGCGGGGTCCAGGACTTGAACTGCGGTCGATTACATGGGAATCCAGTGACATAGCCCATATGCGAACTGCTGGTCCCTTATTTTGTTTCCTCAATGAAGAATTTTATCTGAGACCAGCAGTTGGTGTAGTTTGCTAGCCTTCTGTCCACCCCAGGCCTCAGGGAAATACCCCGGGTTCTAACGAGTTAACCCCACACAGAGGCCTTTGTCTCGGGTGTTTTTCCATCGTAAGCCTCCCCAACTTCTCATCTTCCTCCCGTTTTTTCCACCCACCCAACTTTCTCCCCGTGGGCGTACGTGTGCAGCCTAGGCTGTGTGTGGTATCCACTATCACTACGGGAAGGGTGCAACAAGCCATGTGCAAACCTAGTGGATTCCCCAAAAGAGAAAGAACTAGTGAGCATTAATAGGGTATGGGGGTGCTGGCAGGTGGCACGGTGGTTAAGGCCCTGGACTCCCACATGGCTGACCCCAGTTCAAATCCTGGACCTGGCAGCTTGCTTTCTCACTTTCTCTCTCTCTGGTAAATTCTATTTTTTAAAATAGTAATACATAGGGCTAGCAGGAGGCGTGGTGGTTAAGGTGCTGGATTCCCACAGGGCCCACTACGGTTGGAGTCCAGGACCTGGTGGCTTGCTTGCTTTCTCTTTCTGTCTGGTCAAAATAAAAAAATAGTAACAAATGGAAATAAATAAATAAAAGAGAATTTTAAAATACATAAAAGTTAATAAATAAAAACAGGGTTTGGGATGGCTGGTTAGGGGCCATCACGAATGGAGACGGTTCTTGTTCTTTTTTAGATTTTTCCAGGGCGCGTGCGTGGCCAGAGGCAGAGGCGGAGAGCGGCCGCCTCCCCGCTCCGTGTCCACGCCGCAATCCCTGGTCCGTAGTCCGGATTCTGGGCGCGTCCGCACCCCGCAGGGCCCCAAGGGCAAGCACGCGGGAGGCCGGCCCGGTGGAAGCGGGTCAGAGGCGGTTTCCTTGGGAACATGAACGCGCGGGGCTCCGCCCTGGCCGGGGGTCGTGGAGCCGTCCCCTTGGAGCCACCCAGCGGGCACAGCCCGGCGGCGGGGGCAGGGGGCCGCGCTCCGCCCCCTCCCGGGGTCCCCCGAGCACGGTCTCCGCCGCGGCCGTCAGAAATGACGCCGGGCAAGCGCG